ATGGCGCAATATCCAGTTTGGGAAATCTACGAACAAATTGTTGCCTAGTATGTTTGAACATTGGTGATTGTCCAGTGGGAAGTTTATTTAGAGTTCAGATTACTGGGTGGACTAAAATAGCGCTGAAAAGCATCCCGCTAAGCTGTCCTTAGTGGGAACGAGAGGTCTGTTTACCTTCAGTGTTTGTTGGACAGCCATCATGGCTCTAAATTTACATTGTATATAAAAGTTAATCGGCCACAAAAGGGGGTTGGACGGAAGCTGGTAAACCATGCTCCATCCAGAATACAGTGAGCGATCGAAATCATAAAATGTACGGCGGAATTCTGGAATAAGTCTTTGAACAGAAAGGATTACTTAGGTGGGATTGTAATATTGATTATAATACGGCAAAATCCCATAATATTTCGGACTTTTCAGGATATTGGCCTTCGAATGCACCTCTTTCCAGGCCTCATGTAGAGACCGCACTCGAAAAGAAACAAGTACTAAGTAGCGCACATTTTCTGCATTGATTTTTGATAGTCCTATTATATAGAAAACTTGCATAAAAATTTGCTTTCTTTTACCCGTTTGGGTAGAAAATCAGGTCAATTTTATATAGGATACTCGTACAAATGATATATTTTGACTGCAAAAAGTTTCTAATTATGTGTTTTTTAAGTCCGTGCAATGTCCATTCATGCAGCATCGCACCTGTCCGTTCGTCAATTCTTTCCATGAAATGTAGGACATCGTCCGCATCCATCGCAATATTTTATGAATTCTATATGGTTTGGTTTAAAGGCATAAAGGAATATATAATTTTCCGTACGCTGAAAGCATGCACTTGGCAAACTAAAATCGCTAAACGCTAATGCGACCGTTGATCAGGCTCAAAATTATTTTGAAATTAGCAAAATTGTTAAAACTTAAACGCAGCCCTTCTTCGAGCATAAAATGTCACAATAGCATGATTCTCAATCAAACGGGCGAAAGAAAGCATATTTTTGTGCATGTTTTCTATAGAATATTTTTGAATTTATAAGACCATCAAAAATCAATGCGGAAAATGCATGCTACTTAAGTAGTTATTTCTTTTTCTGAGTGCAGTTTCCACAGGAGGCCAAGAGAAGTGCATTTAACAGCTGACATCAAGCAGGGTCAGAAATATTATAGGAGTATGTCGCATACAAAAAATGCTACAATTCCACATAAGTAATCCTTCCTAGTCGAAGAGTTCTTTCAGAATTCCGGCATACATTTCATGAGATCGGTCACGCATTGCGTATTCTGTGAATAAAGAGTCCGTTATGGTCGGGGAAGATTGCGAGGTGAATGCTGGTTCCTGTCAACGCATGGTGAGGGTATTTTGATGAGCTCTGGCGACGGCATTTAACGTTTCCCCCACGGAGAGAGCGCAGCATCGGTAAATTAGGTGTGATTTAACTTATGGCAAGGTGGGCTCGGCAGCATTCACTGGGCTTCAGGTTCCCGCATTCACCCTGTCCTGATGGGGTAAAAATGTCAAGATCACCAGTGGTACACAAAGTTACGCGAGTCGTTTACGCGTGCTACGCACACGATCCAGAGGCGATTCGTGTCTAATATAGTCTAGGGAGCCCAAAAGACCACAGTAGATGGGAGAAACTAGAGTCGGACTCCCAGCTCTCCAGTAACTTTAAAATCCTCTCATGGAAACCTGGTTTTTCTGTCAGATAATGAGCTTCTGAGGCACGTCTTTTAGCGCATCGTGAAATACTTCAGCATCTCGGATTCATTTTAGCGAGAATCGAGCTGATTCGTCGTGAGTATGGATTCCCCACTTTCATCGACTCGCAATTGTAACCTTGTCCTTGATATATGCCGTTAAGTCTTCCGGGGGTATTGAGTATATTTTTCTTGTAAATATAAGTATGAAGGAGCAATTCATAAGAAGAAAGAAATGCAATTGTTGGAACGGAATTTTCCCCCACTGACTTTTCGTAATCACACTTGACAAAGACAATCAAAACGAGGGTATGGAGTAGTACAAGATGTGCAGTACTCCTTCGATGAAGTTACCATACAGCCATATATTTGTTAACATTTGCGGCTTAAGCATTAATCGCTGATGTCCGTGTTTGGCATGGCTAGGGCTTGCTCGTCCGCTGCCAAGTCTTAGGTGACCTCGAGATCATCACTAAAGCTGGCGATGCTTGTGACAATCGTTAGGTCACCCGGCTCATCAGTAGTTTTATTAAAGTCATTTTTCACTCGAAGGCTCCTCGGAGTGCTTATTTCCTTACAGGTACAGTAGGTAGGCTAACTCATGAAATGTAGGCCAGCATTTCGAAATGCGTTTTCATGTCGAAAAAATTAATTAAGTAGGGTTGTAAAACTAATCAACCTGCAGCATAATTATATAATAATTCAGTTACCTCAGTATTCCGGCGTTCGAACGAAGTTCGTTCCGGCTGCATGCAAAAACTACACTCTGTAAAAAATGGCTACTTGAGTAGCATGCATTTTTCTTATGGATTTTCGATGTCATTAAGAACTCAGTTAAATTTCATGGAAAACGTGCATACACATATTTACTCATTCGCTCGGTCGGTAGAAAATTGCATTTTCTTCGAAGTTTATACTCAAAGGAAGAGTATATTTTGGTTTTAGAAGAAGCTTTTGACTGTGAGATGTTTAAATACAGTGAAATAGGTGTGCAGAAAACGTCATGACTCAGCATTTACCAATGTGGGTTGTAAAGTTTACAATAAGGCTCAAATCAACCGCTCAATTTTATGAATCCCATGTGGTCTCCTTTTAATTCTGTAGTGAAAGGCATGATTCTCCGTATACGGAGAATGTATTGATCATAGTATGGAAACCATGAATGCAATTGTAACGACAGGTCGAGTTAAAGGTTGCTCGACAAATGGAAAAGTCTATGAAAAAAATTGAAAAAAATTGAATGTCTTTATACATGTTTTCTACGAAATATAGTTAAATTTTTTAAAGGGCATCGAAAATCTACGGGAAAAATACGTGATAGTTAAGGTGTCAGTTTTTGCAGAGTGTAGTTTTTGCATGCAGCCTGAAAGAGGTTCGTTCGATAGCCAACATTCTGGGGTAACCGAATTATTATAGAATTAGACTGTAGAATTATTAATTTTACAACCCTATTTAATAAATCCTCTCGGAATGAAAAGAAATTTCCCATTTTCGACTGACATTTCGTGAGTTAACTCACCTACTGTATAAGCAGATTGATGGGGCACCGGGACCATACTTTTATCTTCAAACTCCTGCTGCAGTCCGTCAAAAATAATAGCAGCAGCAATAGTGGCATTTAAAAGACTCACTAACTAATCCACTGCCAGTGCTGTCTGTATTGTGCTGACTGCGCATAGCTGTGTATGCCTGGGGCAGGTCAGTGGATCGACTGATTTATTTCTTATCCGAGACTCAGGCCTCAGTTGGTTCTCGGCTTGTCATGCGTCTGGCATGAGCAGTTATCGTGGCGGCTGCAAAACTGGACTCGCGACTAATTTAAAACTTCCAGGTGGTCACGTATGTTTTGTGTTCTGTTGTTGGTTGAGATCTGCACGGCGTATATCAACAAACGAACAACTTTACAAATTGAGCGCATTTCAAGGCGGCCCTTCATATTCCCTCTTCTTCGTCCTCTGCTGAGGCTAACAGTAAAACACTTAGAGATTAAAATTTAAAACTGAAATCTGACAACAGGATGATCACATTAGCGTTGGCTTGTGGCGTCTTGATTTCTTTGAGAACCGCAGGAATGTGTTTGAATCGGACAGGTTAAAGCATGGTAACAGTTCCTTCTTTAAGTCACACGATCAAGGGTCTTGCAAAGGCGCAACCTGTTGCAGGAAACATTAGCCCTGTCCAGGTGCGACAGTTCGGTGCCCCTGTTTGTAATATTGGTCAGTCATCCTACGAATCAATGTCTGCCGTGCTATCAAAAGAGCATGGTGACTGGGTGACACTGTTAAAGAAACGGAGCCCGAGACTCTGAAGTTCAGGAGGTTTTCAAGGTCGACAGGTCAAGTGGCCAGATTATTCTTGAGCAGTATTGATTGGACAATTCGTCATTTTGTAAGCGAGACTGAGAGCCGAAGCACATTTGGCCCGCAGAGAAGCAAGTACAGTTTTAATGAGTCAACTAGAAGTGCAAAGCGTACTCATGCTTCGTCTATGGGAAAGCTGGGTCAGATTTGGTTGTGTAGCCTCACCTGAAGAAAACAGACCCCAGCCACCTGTAATAAGTGACTGGCGGTTATAGAGGTTTTTACAAGTGGGGACAGGAAACGCACAGGCGACGAGGTCAAGTAGTCATATGCAAAAGAAAAGCGATTGGGAACGCATGGTTGTGCATCGAGTAGTTGAGAAGTAGTTGCCCTAACCCCTAATCCTAACCCTGACCCTAACCCCTAACCCTCACCTAACCCCAACCCCAGCAGTATTGTGTCCTTCAGGTGGGGCTACATAATCACATCTTACCGAAAGCTGCTTTCGCCATATCGAGAGGGGATAGGCGCATTGCTATTCCATGTCACCATGCTGCTTCGTGAACTGCTGAGTCCTTCATACTTTTAACTAGCGGAATCGTGGGCGCCGAAGTCAATGTTGGAACTATTGGTAACAATCTGGAGAGGGCACCCAAACAAATACTGCCGGCCAAATCAGCGATCTTATCGCAACTGTCCTAAGCTACGCAGCCACTGACCGAGCCGCACACTGGCGACTGCGGTAGCTCCTGACCTCTAGAAATAATGGTTAAAATTGATAATCCAAGTGTTCGGTCAATGGCGATCGTATTGCAATTGTCCGTAGGTAAGCTACAATAGAATACTCCGCATAGGGACTATTGTGGTCGCTGTTCAGCAGAAAAGGCTTACATTAAGATTGTTTAACGTAGGGTGGGCCTACGGCGAACGTTTCGCAACTGTCCAAAGGGTATGGTGCCATAGATTGAGCCGCATACCTACAACTGCGCTCATTCCACACCTAAGGAAGAAATGGTCATAATGGATAAGCCAATGGGCCAGTCCGCAGCTATCGTATCGTAAGTGTTTGAACGTATGCTACCATAGATTAAGCCGCATATCGACTACTGCGCTTGCTCTTCAGCTGTAAAAGCTAATGTCAAGGTTGGTAAACATAGGATGAATCTAAAGCGATCATTCTCCAACTATTCTCTAACTATTGTCGTCGCTCGTAACCTAAGCATGCATATGTGAAGGATGGCAAACTAATGGTTGGTATACAGCGATCGTTTTTCAACTCTCGTAAGGTATGCAAGGGTAGATTTCGCCGCAACCCCACTACTGCTGTCACTCTTCAGCCGTGTAAGCCTAGGTCAAGGTTGATTAACCATGCCTCGATCTGCAGCGGTCACATCTAAACTGTTGGAGACTATGCTAATCTAAGTGAGGCAACATGTGCATTGCAGATCAGATCAAATTGAGGTCGGATGAAACAACAAATATGTAGGGCCAAAACCTACTCAAATAGGTATAGCAAGCATTATTTCTAGGCAATTGATACTTGGGTGCCCTCTCCCGATTGTTACCGAACTATTTATTGAACCTGCCTCGAAACGTACCAACAACCACACCTATTAATTACGTGGATTCCAGATGGATTACTTAAGATATCCAGCTTGGACAGTCAGCTTACTGTATCGCATCTGGCGGATTCCAAACGTTACAGCAGGCTGGCCAAAATGTGGTCATTTGCAAGGCTTCCAGTGGGGCCTTGCAGTTCAGGTGGCTAGAGGGCTGACCGCACTAAAGTCTTCCCTTGCTATCGTGGATTCAAATCCCACCGAGGTCGTCGAGGTTTTATCAAATGAGTCAAAATAAATTATTCTAAATCAGCCAAAACACCTATTAAAAACGCTCAGAGCACATGATGATAAAGTTGCCAAATGATTTGCCCAATTTGGGCAACCGGAGATGGCAGTAAGGAGGGGACCAACTGACTACGTGCTCATAGTCCCTTGTGCGCTTTGATTTCCCCTAGAGGATAAACACCTCAGTTAAGAAGGAGAGTCGAGCACCGAAACACTTTGTTTATTGTCCTGAGCTTCCAGACTCGCACAGGAATCCATCGTCAGAGGTAGCAGCAGCAACAGAACAAACAACAGTTTTAAGGCCTGTAGGCCAATCATCGACAGACCGCGCAAGACTGGAAGTGACTGCGCACAGCTCTGTACGCCGGCGCCAGATCGATAAATCGATTGACCGAGTTCTCATCCGAGACCCAGGCTTCAATCAATTATATGCCTGTTTTGTTTCCGACGTGTGTGACTGTTTTGGTGGCTGCAAAGTTAGACTCGTGACCCATTTTGTAGGTGTGGGCGGCCACTTGTGATAATGCGTCGCTTCGTCGCACAGCCAGTTTATGTTCGTGTGCGCGCGATCCGAGCATGCGCCCAGTCTGTCCTGTGTAGTTACAAGGACAATTTTGACACGGAATGCCATAAACTACTCCAGATTTCTCTTCAGGTTTTAACCGGTCTTTGATTTTCATGACCCTGTTGCGCATGGTGGCTTTGGGGCGGTGTGCAATTCCAACCCCCACCTCCGCAGCAATGCGCTCGGACGCTTCTGAAACGCCCTTGATGTTTGGTAGAGAATGCCATATCGTCGGTGGCGTTGATGCTCGAGTTTTCTGATGGTGACCGCGTAGGCAGCGACTTATGATTGCCCTTGGATAGCCATTTTGCACAAACTGGTCGCGGAGAAAACGGGCCTCACGTGCTCTGTCCTCCGGTTTGCTGCAATGAGTTTGAATCCGTTTGAAGAGAGTCTTCTCACAGCTTCGTGTGTGAGCCACCGAATGGTTACAATGAAAACTGAGAAGTTGTGTGGTGTTCGTTGCCTTCCTATAAACCGTCGTTTCTAGTTCACCGTTAAGGTTTCATCTCACAAGCACATCCAGGAAGGGCAACGGCTGTTCCTGTTCTCCTTCCCTTGTGAATTTTATATCAAGGAAGACTGCGTTGAGCAGGCTGTGGAAATGTTGCAGCATGTCCTTCTTTACGATGATGAACTTGTCATCTACGTAATGGCGTCAAATTACCGGTTCATTTTGGATGAAGGCAATATTTTATAACTCCTGTAGGACCAGTTCTGCCACTAAACCGGAGACCGGTGAGCCTATTGAGGTTCCCTTGATTTGTTCATAGGTCTCCCCCGCAAAAAGAGAAGAAAGTTTGTTGGCAGAATTCAAACATCCTCATAAGGTTTTCAATTTTGAGTGCATTCCAAGTCTCATCGTACGGCTCTTCAAGTCTCTTGCGCAAGACTTCGCGGGCCATTTTGGTGGGATGGGTGTGAACAACGACGTCACATCGAAGGAGACCATGATTTCGTTCGATTGAATCCTCCGACCTCGGAGGTCTATGAGGAATTGAGAGTCCGATCGAACTGAGGTAGTCGAATTGCCTTGGATGAACTTCAGGTTTTAGTACATCCACTTTACCAAATTGTACGTGGGGCTGCCTTTTAGGGCAGCGACTGACCGAACTGAGACATTTGCTTTATGGATTTTTGGCAGACCATAGATTCAAGCAAGGGCAATGTCAGTTGCCTTCATTTGGTGCCATTTATTCTCCGTAATCATACTTTTGTGTCGGTATTCTCTGAGCAGTTTACTAAGCCATTCTGCCACTGCTTTGGCTTGTGAGTTCTCTGCTGGTCTGTAAAATTCTCCGTTATCAAGTAGGGCGTGCGTGATGAGTTTTCTGAGAATTAATTGGGGCACACATTATGATGATGTAAGATAAAGGCGCACTAATACACTCTACAGAACGTTTAGCACAAATGAATGGTTGCTTCAATCCCTACTGAAAAGCAGAGATAAGTTTCGCAGTTACCGTCTGTGTGCCTAGGCGTTACCAACGTTACCAAATCTCCATCTCTGAAGCAGCTTTCCCAAGCTTGGTGGGTGGTTAACAGAAAAAACGTTTTTTTGGCAGGGCCATTACTTAACAGCCGGAAGTAGATGTCACTCCAGTGATTTCCAAATTGCGCTACTTATCAGTGGTTGCTAAGTACTGCGGACTGGGTGATACGTCTGTCGAAGTCGACGCCAGTGTTTTTAATAAATTTCGTGACAATTTACCAACTGCTACCCATTGCTGCATAAAATGGATAAAGGATACGGAGGATATAGAAAATTAGGGATAGGCAGAATGGCATTACCGACAAACTCAAGGGATACTGGAATGGCCGTTTCTGGCTTATTAGACAGTCACACGCAGCCCCGAATTGTGGAACACCCAAGGCTCGAAATCGTGACCTGCTAGTTAGAAGTCCACGCCTCTAGCCACTGGATCACGAGCCAGTTGTCCTGTCGGTTTTCGATCGGGAATGTACAATGGTAAGGGACGCTCACCGATTAGATATGTACGAACAATGGATGCAGGGACAGCGAGGTGGTTGTCGGTTGTTATATGTTGATGCATTAAAACATTTACGCCTGAAAAACGAATTAACCAACTATCTATACTTATTTTGCCATTCCCCTATGCATACATAGGCCCCGCCCGTAAAAACTCTATAACCACCTTTCACGTGGGGTTAGGGGTCCTACACCCGATCGTTGCCCACACTTAGTCTTATCGATTACAAGAAGAAACTTTAAAAAACGTTAGCCCGCAAAAAGATGAGCAGGTTATAGAACTAAGGTCTTCCGGAACCAAGTACAGTAGATGTGCTAACTCATGAAATCTCAACCAAAATTCCGAAATGCGTTCTCGTTTCGAAAATATAAAGTAAGTAGTGTTGTAAAACTAATCATGGTGCAGCATAAATCTATAATGATCCAGTTACCTCAGGGTGTCGGCTTTCGAAAGAACTTATTTTCGGCTGCATGCAAGATCCATACTCTGCGAAAAATGACTACTTACGTAGTATGCAATTTTCTCATTGATTTTCGATGTTCTTGAAAATTCAATTATATTTCCGGAACACATGCATAAAAATATTCATTCCTTTAGTTATTCGGAAGAAAATCACGTCTTCTTCTAATTTCATGCTTAAAAGAAGAGTATAATTCGGTTTTAGAAAAGTTTCTAATTATGAGATATTTTAATACTGTTAAATGGCCGTTTATGAAACGCCATTTATCTGCATTAACGAATGTGGCTTGTAAAGTTAACAATATTGCTCAAATCCACGACTTAGTTTTATGAACCTCATATGGTCTCCTGTTAACACCGTAGGGAAATGCATGGTTTTCCGTGTACGGAGAATGTACAGCTCGTAGTATGGAAACCATGAATGCAAGTGTAACGGCAGGTCGGGTTCAAAATTATTTGGGAATTAGAAATGTTTTTTAAAACCGAAATATACTCTTCGTTTGAGTGTAAAATTAGAAGAAGACGTGAGTTTCTTCCGAATAACTAAAGGAATGAATATTTTTATGCATGTTTTCCAGAAATATAATTGAATTTTCAAGAGCATCGAAAATCAATGAGAAAATTGCATACTACGTAAGTAGTCATTTTTTGCAAAGTATAGATCTTGCATGCAACCGAAAATAAGTTCTTTCGAAAGCCGACACCCTTAGGTAACTGGAGCATTTTAGATTTATGCTGCATCATGATTAGTTTTACAATACTACTTATTTTATCTTTTCGAAACGAGAACGTATTTCGGAATTTTGGTTGAGATTTCATGAGTTAGCACGTCTACTGTAAGAGTGACCATAGGGTCTGTTTACACAAGTGAGTTCCCTACGTCAGTTGTTAAATTGCCTCTAAGTAGCGCAGTGTCCGAGCTATTTGTGCGCGAAGAAGTACTCGAAAGGCCGTTTTAGAGTCTGGAGGTGTGAGCTTTACCAAGAATTAGTCCTGCGACCGAGGAAGAGAGGATTCAATTATTTGCTCTAAACGCCAGTTGGGTAGGTTCCCAACTGAGCTGCATGTGATTAAGTGGCAAGCCAGCCCCAGTTCGAAATACGGTGCTTATTTAAGGCGATCACAAGGCTACTCCTAAAGACAGAAACTACAGCAAAATGTGGATGAGACCGGTGGCCTTAGCTGGTCAGAGCGAATGTCATTCAAGCGGCAAATGCAGGTATTACGGACTCCTTCTGCTTGTCGTTTATATGCTTGTCTTCTCGACCCTATCAGATGATTAGATCCGCGGCGCTGTCACGAAAATATACGATAATTAGTCTTTACTGTCAATACTTTGGACATGTTAGGTTTCGCTTTCGTGAGATCTGCAAGACCAATCAAACCATATTCCCCTTGACCCACCTCAATGTCATACGCATGCATTATTAAAACGCCGAGGAACATCGTATTCTTGCTGGTGCATTTCGAGAGATGGTCGTACAGTGCGTGACCGATCTCATGAAACGTTAGCCAGAATTCTGAAATGCGTTTCCGATTAGGAAGGATTACTTAAATGGGGTAGTTATACTGTGTATCATGCAGCAAAACCCTATAACGTTTCGGATTTGCCAGGATGTCTGCTTTTGAATGCACTTCTTTCTGACCTCCTGCAGAAACTATACTCGGTAAAAATGACTACTTAAGTGGCAGACATTTTGTTGCATTGATCTTCTCTGCTCTTATAAAAACAAATATATTTTACAGAAAATGCGCACAAAATATGCCTTCTTTTGCCCATTTGGAAGGAAATCACATTGTCTTCATATTTTATGCCCGGAGAAAGTGTGTATTTAAGTTAAAAAAAGTTTCCCGATTCCCGAATAATTTTCCGTCTGATCAGCGTTTAGCAATTTCAGTCTATAAGGTGCATGCTTTCCGCGTAAGGAGAATCATACATTCCTCTATGCCTAATAGAAGTTACCAAATAGAGTACATGAAATTTTGCAATGGGCCTGGACTGGTTTGCAAATTTCATGAGAAGCATTAATAAGCGGACGTGTGCGGTCGTACATGCATGGATATCGCACAGTCTTAAAAATCTCATAATGAGAAACTTTTTGAAAATCTAAATATTCACTATCTTCGAGCATCAAATATAAGGATTATGTGATTTCCTACCAAATGAACAAAAGAATGTATGTTTTTGTGCTTGTTTTTCTGTAAAATCTATTTGACGGTATGTCATTACCAACAAAGACGAGGGCGACTGAAATGGCCATTTTCGGCTTACTAGCCATCGTCAGTCAGTCATACCCAACCTCGAAGGGTGCATCACCCGGGGCTGGCTGACGACGGCTAATGAGCCAGAAATGGCTAGTCCAGTCTCCTTTGTCTTTGTCAGTAATAAGATACTGCCTATAGCATGCGCCCCCGTGCGGTTGCTGGTTGGGTTCAGGAGACAGCCGGTAAGGCCCAATGGAACGAGTGAGTTCCGTAAGACCACCAAAAATCAATAATAAAAATGCGTACTACTTAATTAGTCATTTTTGCCGACTGTGGTGTCTGCAGGAGTTCAAAAAGAAGTGCATTAAAACGCCGACATCCTAGTGAGTCCAAAATATTGTAGGGTTTTGCTGCATGATAATCAGTATAACAACCCCACTTAAGTAATCCTTCGCAAACGAAGTCCAGAATTTTGGCTAAAATTTCATGAGATCGGTCACGCACTGTACTCCGTTCGTCTCAGACTCCGTAAGCTGTCAAATGCCGACTCAGAGCCCTCTCCTGCCTCCGTCACGAAAGCGGAACGCTGTAGACATAAATTTCACTCATGATCGCGGCCGCGGGCAAGCATATTTTCACTTCAAAACTGACAAAAAACGTGTCTCAAGCCATCTTCATAGGTGATGACACGAGGCACTTAAACAAAAGTGCACTCTCTCCCCCTCGAGTGCGGTAAAACCCAGGAAGGCTGAAAATAAGAGTTGTCAAAGAAAGCAAACCAGGAAGACAGTGTCAACGTTTGTGCCTGAGAAAAGCAACCCGAATGTCAACGGATAGAAAATAACATTACAGAGACTCGAGACGCCTGGGAGCCTTTGTCAGTAGGTAGATTCTTCGTTCCGTTAGTTTCGCAATACTACTGAAGACGGTATTTCGACACAAGACTGCATGGTTCCAGAGAATTTCAATAAAATCAGTCACTACCAATTAGTTGTGTGCTTGAGCGAGCGGACAATGAAGCAAAGATCGATATGCATTAAAGGCTGATCGATGCTGAGTAATTGGAAAAAATCGTCCAGCAACTCGAAGTTAAAATAAGCTAGTTATGTGAGGAGTGGGAAGACAGTAAAGGGGTGCAGAGGCCAACCCTTTCGAAATAAACGTAGGTGGACGAGGAAACGACTTAAAATATACAAATTTGGTATTCTAACGAGGCTAAGTGGTTTGGCAGTTTTCACGTCCATTGGGGGTTTAACTGCGACCTCTCCGCCTCCATGCCCTTTAACTGCGGTGTGGTCCGCTGATGCCGACTAATAAACCGGAATCTGCCGATTCCTTCTCCTTATAGGGAACAATTTTTCTTCCGAGAAATGCTGTTGTCGTTCTCTGCGTCAGTTCCGGGGATAGGTTTGTTTGAGTCCGACAGTACAATCGGGTCAGAGCTGTTGGCGTCAGCCGATGGGAAAGACAACCCTGAAAACTATGATATGATGTTTACAAAGCGGTGTGCAGTTGACTGAATTTTTGGATTCGCATGTGGAACACGGACACAAACAGTTACATGCGTATAAATAAGTGGCACGTGCGAGTATTGTTTCTCGACTCCCCTCCCCGGGAGACGGCTGTACACAGTCCACTTTATTGATATGAATGGAGCCCCGGCGACCGTATTCGTCAGGTCTGTTGCTTTTTATCTTGACTGGTCTGTCTAGCCGGTGCCGTGGAACCTCAGATGACTTATTTGGCTTGCGTATGACGGAGGGCAAAAATTTAATGAAGGCATCTCGCGACTTGGGCGGTGGGTGCTTCTTGTGCCAATTTCAGCCGGTTGAATGTAAAACAGAACTTACTGGAGTTTGTCCTAACGGGCGACATTCCTTGACTGTCTCTGCTTATCGAACATCCAGAGGAATGAAGTTTCTTTTCAAGATATTGCAGCTGCCTCTTGCTATAGCCCTCCCTCCCTTTTCTACATCTTCATCGCCAGCATCACCGCCAGAGTTGCGGCGTCTTCCTGCTTTTCCCCAATAATTTCCTCTTCATCCTCCTTTATCTACTTCTCCTCCTCCTCCTCTCCCCCCTCTCATTCCCCTCTCTACTTCCTGTTATTTTTGTTTTTTTCGTCTGTTTCGGCCTCCGCCTACGCATCCTCCATCTTCTCCTTCTCCTCCTCCACCTCCGCCTCCTCCTCCTCCTCCTCCTCCTCCTCCTCCTCCTCCTCCTACTCCTCCCCCCACCTCCCCTTTCTCTTCCCCCTGTCTCCATTATCTTCGTCTCTTGTTCCTAATCTTCCTCTCTATCACTACTGTAATCGTCAAAATGCTTATCGTCCTCACACGCACCACCATTGTTCTCTCCTTTTTTCTTCTTCTACTTCTTCATCGCCTGCACCATCTTCCTCTCAATCTCACCCGGAAATGGCCTCTGTATCCGAATCAGGAAGTGGAGACGCAATTCGGATTTGTGATGCTTACCTGCCTCCAAACG